GACCATGTGGAAATCTCGAGGAGGCGTCCTACGCGCGTCCTACCCGCACCCTTTTCCTTTCCGTTTTTTTCTCCCTTCCTCCCTGTCTGTATTCCTCGAGATCCTTCGCACGATATTCATAACGATCGAGATCCTTTCGATACGATCACGCACAGAGATGCGGAATTCTACCTTCTCTGTCGATATCTTTCTCGAAACGCAATTCTCTCGTCTACTACGAGAGAATGATCATCGAGGAGGAGACGATAAGTCGAAGAGCGAGGCATCGTTTATCTTGTTTATCCCGTTAGGTGATTCGGGGTAAAGGGTTGCGCGATTTTCTCTCGAGAGAATTTCCCCGAGGATAGGTACACCTGAAGCACGGCACTGTGCACGACCCTTGCCGAGCATCCACGAACCACCCTCTCTTTCTCTCTCTCTTTCTCCCTCTCGCCCCCATCCACTCCGTTGCTTTCCGTTCCACTTGTATGTGTTCAGCATCTCGCCTACCCTCTGTCCTTCCTCGTTGCTGTTCTCTCCACGAGGTATCCCAGTCGATACTGACACTGGCGGTGCGAGGTCGACTCGTCAGAGGGTGCTGAACGGAGTGCAGAGGCGGCAAAGGGGCTCGGGGGTGGTTACGAAAAAGAAAAGAAAAAAAAGGGAGAGAGAGAGAGAGCGCTTTGCGTTACGTCTCTCCTCTCTTCTTCTTCTTCTTCTTCTTTTTCTTCTTCTCTTCCCTTTTCCCCAAAGGTTTTTCTGCCCTTCCCTCCTCTCTTTCCTCCTCGTTGAAATTGTACAATAGAAACGAAGCCTTATCCGATGCGGACATAGCCCCCGCAGCCTCTGTCTCTCCTTTTCCTCGCCTCGTATTTTCGCCCGTTTCTCGCGCCTCTGTAACCCTTTTCTCTCTCGACGAGCTCGAAATTGTTACGTTTAATGAAACGGTGAGTGAGATTTTTTTTACCTAGCTAAAGGGCAAAAGACGTTAATGGGTCAGCTGTACGAACGGATATCGTTATCGATGAACGCGTAATCCTCCGTGGAAAAGAAGAGAAAACGATTATATCGACGATTAAAATCTTCTCCCATGCTTCCACCCGATCGCGGTTAACGTTGCGTCCAAGGACGAGTCGTAATTCTTCCAATTTTTACGCCCCCTTTTTATCTTCATTTTTATCTTTCCATTTCGAAATTCTACTTTGGAATAATAGTAGATATAATGAAACGATACTCGAGAGTGATTCGTTCCGATTAGCAGCTCGATCAAAGGTTCGACATCTCGCCTCTTGGAATTGAAACACAGAGAGACAGAGAGAGAGAGAGAAAACGTCTTATTGAATTATTAAGAGCGCGAGAGAAAAGTGTGCATTAATGCCGCGAAAGTGGCGAGCGAGAACGATACGAATCGGAAACCGTACCGTTGTAACTTGTTGAGCAAGCGACCAGAACACGTCTGGATATCGACTGAGATTCGTTTGAGCGAGGACTCTGGAGATCTCCTTTCCACGCCACTCGCTCGCTCCAAGAATAAAGCGACGGATTTCCACCCCAATCTTCCTCTTCGAACCCTTCCCTGAATCCTTATTATTCGCCTTGTAAACACACACGTGTATACATATGCACATGTATTCGCACACAAATTTCAAAGGACGAGAGAGAAGATATTTTTCGAATTCGACGAATCCCGTTCGAATCGTTCGAGATCGAACGCGCGACAAAAAGAAAAGAGAAACGAAATAACGAGAGGATACGGCGTGAAGGGAGTGCAACCGCGTTTACACGTTCACGTTTCAAATTTCCAACGCGAAATATTCGAACGCGATCGTGGGTTGGAGCCGTTAATCGGGAGGGTCGAAACGGGTCGAAAATATGTGACAAACGCGTGCACGTAAATGCAACCAGGTACGCGAGACGACCTCAGATATGCGATGGTCCGTTGTATCCCTGGCCTGGGATAGGTATGTGCGAGGTATTTCCGAGTGCCTCCCGATCTACAAGGATTCTCCAAAATAAACGGGTATGCGTGAAGTTCTTGTTTCGGGGGATGGGGCAGGGGAGGTGAGGGGGGGCGCAGACGCCGGAATTCCTCGAGGGTTGCCACTACTGTTCTGCACAGCCTTTGGACAACGCGAACACGCCCTATTCGGAGGCCGGATGGAGAGAGGCTAGGGCCACTGCTCCGCTAACGAAAATTCGACGGAATTCGAAACTGTTCGCGCATCCGATAGCTATATATCCCGCGAGAAACGAACGCGGTTATATATCGAGAGAATCGACGAAACGAATATATATATATGTGTGTGTATATATGCACGTGTATATGTATATACACGAGAGTTATCAATAATTCATGGGAGCCATGATCGGTGACCGGTTGGCATTTATGGTACACGGTACGTAAATTGATTCGTTATTGCTTGAAGGTGCGAGAGGATAATCCGAACGATCTAGTTGCAGAAATTGCTCGCACGGAATCGGAGGATTTCTTCGCATCGCGAAGAATCGCTTTTCAAAATCGGAAAGAAATTCAATTTTCCCTTCCGACGATTGCGATGATAAATATGTTAAAAATAACGGATCACGTGCGATTGACTTGTGGGGTGAACGCGCTGTACCGTGACACGTTCGAATCCCAATTTAGGTATTAATTATCTCCAAAGGTAGCTCGGAGATT